GGAAGTAAATCACATCTTCCAAGTTGATTGGAAGATGTGAACCATGACCCCAAAAAAAGATGGGAGGGAAATGCTTAGAATTACATGCATAGCGGAAAAGAAGCCAGTCCTAAGCATTTCCTCCATGTTGTACTGACGTATCTGTAACATTAATAAATGCCTTTTAGGAGTAAAAATGCCTGAAAGTCCTTTTAAGTGTTTCGTTAATCCAGTGGTTCTCAACCTTTTTAATGCCGCGACCCCAACTGGTCATAAGTCGAGGACTAAACCGGTCGTAAGTCGAGGACTAAACCGGTCGTAAGTCGAGGACTACCCAACCGGTCGTAAGTCGAGGACTTTCCCTGCCTGGGAGCGCCGCGCATGCGTGGTTCCGCCCCCTGCGCCGGCCGAGGTGTAGCTGGCAAGCGGCAGAGACGGAGCAGGCCGACCACCAGCTGGCCCAGCCCAAGGGAGGTAAGGCACCCGCCGGAAAAGGGGGAAAAAAATGGCGGACAAAAAAAATGGCGGACAGCCTTTCTTGGCGACCCCCGTGAAATGGTCGATCGACCCCAAATGGGGTCCCGACCCACAGGTTGAGAACCACTGCGTTAATCAGACACATGACATCACCATTATTTTCATCCCAAGTGTTTTGCTAAAGCCACGTCTGTCCTAAGACGGACCTGCTTCCCACGAAGGTGAACTCACCTGTTAATCTCGTCAGCATCGGGGCTGCAGACAAGGGTGGGCTCCGATTTCCTAGGATCCCGACTCTTCAGTTCTTCCAAGAAAGAAGAGTCGCCGCTCTGCTCTTGCACGGACCGGTCTACTCGGTCGGAGAGGTCCTGATCGAAGGGCACCCGGCAAAGCGGAGCGAGGACCATGTTCTCCTTGATCTCAAAGGGAGCAAATTTTCCACACCAGCACGCAAGAGTCTGAAAACAAGAGGCCAAAACTTTTATCACGCTGTTCATAAACTGAGATGGAAGTTTCATCTTTGAAGGCCAGAAAAACCACACACTTCGGGGGAAAAAAATATGCTTCACACCCACACCTGAAAGCCCCTGTAAACAGAAGAACACCGACATTGACACCCTCCAAACTCCGCTGAAGATGTTACCTAGCCTGGTAACGAAACGTTCAGAAACCAACCCACAGAAGCTCGGAGGACGAACCTCCACCCTCAAATATGTTGTTACCATTCTAAGGCCAGCATTTTGCTGCTCAAAGCAAAGTCAGGTATTTTATGGTATTAGCCAGGAAAAACACTAATAGTTTTAAACATCTCAACAGAATACAAACATGATTAGAAGACTTACTTTTGGAGCAGGCTGGGTTTTTGGTTTTTGAAAGAACCGGGTGATTTCAGCCTTTTCTGCTTTGAGGCGCTAGAATCAGAAAATTGACAAGATTACAGGTTACCATCCATGAGATGAAGAACCTTATTGCAATCAAAGCCTCCTCTAACACAGAGAAGGCAAACACCGTGTGATGTCAAAAGCACGTCTTTTGAACACTGCGTTCTTCCCGAAATAGAACCCCCCCCCCAAAAAAAGTGCTGCTGTTTTTACCTTCTCTTCCTCTTTTAAGCGTTTTTCTTCTTCTTTTTTTCTTTTCTCTTCTAATTTTGCCCTTCAAAAATAAAGCCCAGGTTTAGGAAAATATAATCTGGGTGTACAAAAAAAAACAACAACCCAGCATCGGGAGCATTCAAACATGACTCAGACAGTCTCCACGCTTCAAAACACGGGATAAGGAACATTTTGCAGATCCTTTGTTTAAAAGGCACTTTTTGTGGGAAAAGCTTCCATCTGAATTTCTAATTCAAATCCATTTTACGATCAAGAGGTCCAAAAGGCAGCCGTGAAGATATCCATCACAACTGGATTGCAAATTGCAATGGAGCACAGATTAGACTTCACAACTTGGGTGAGATAGGAAGGAAGGGAGGGAGGGAGGGAGGGAGGGACGGAGGGAGGAAGGAAGGAAGGAAGGAAGGAAGAAGGAAGGAAGGGAGGAAAGGAAGAAGGGAGGGAGGGAGGGAAGGAAGAAGGAAGGAGGGAGGGAGGGAAGGAAGGAGGGAGGGAGGGAAGGAAGGAAGGAGGGAAGGAAGGAATGGAGGGAGGGAGGGAAGGAAGGATGGAGGGAGGNGGGGGCGGGGCCAGTGTTTGGGCACTTGGTCTCTAAAAGGTTCGCCATCACTGGTCTAGAACAGTGATGGTGAACCTTTTAGAGACCGAGTGCCCAAACTGCAACCCAAAACCCACTTATGCATCGTCGGGTGCCGGGTGGGTGTGGCCAGTTGGGTGGGCGTGGCTGAGGTGGTAATAGCAGGCTGGGTGGGACTAAAAAGTTCAATCAGTCAATTCCAACTTTGCAAGATCTTTTTTTTTCCGCGAGAAGTTGAAATTGACTGATTTAACCTTTTTCTTTTTTTTTTTGCATATGGCGGCGGAGGCCTAAAGCAAAAAGGTTTTATAAAACCCAGCTGAAGGCCTAGGACTGGGGCGACAGCGCGCGTGCCTACAGAGAGGGCTCTGAGTGCCGCCTCTGGCACCCGTGCCATAGGTTCGCCACCACTGGTCTAGTGTTAAGATAGAAATACATATAATTTTAGGTTAGTAAATAGAGAAATAAATTAGATATTGTATAGAAAAATATACATGTGTATATAGAGATGAAGAATTATATGTAAGAAGAGGAACCAATTGTTAGAAATACTTACACTGGAATGTTACGTTATGTCCATTTTTTTTAACTGTATTATAAATAAAAAACTTTTTAAAAAAACATTGATATCCCCTTGGTCCCAGTGGCCTGTTTGAAGAATATAAGGCAGGGGTAGGCAACCTTGGCTCTTTTAGGACTTATGGACTTCAACTCCCAGAATTCCTGAGCCAGCATGGCTCAGCTTGGAAACCTCTCCCTTTCCCCTCAGCATGGCTGGCTCAGGAATTCTGGGAGTTGAAGTCCATGAGTCCTAAAAGAGTCGAGGCTGCCTACCCCTGATCTAGATGATAGATAGATATGTAGGTAGGTAGGTAGGTAGGTAGGTAGACAGACAGACAGACCTAGATCAGGGGTAGGCAACCTTGGCTCTTTTAGGACTCGTGGACTTCAACTCCCAGAATTCCTGAGCTCAGCTTGGAAACCTCTCCATTTCTCCCCAGCATGGCTGGCTCAGGAATTCTGGGAGTTGAAGTCCACGGGTCATAAAAGAGCCGAGGTTGCCTACCCCTGCCCTAAGGAATGTAATGTTCTGAGCTTACCATATCTTTAGTCCAAGGGTTTCTGGGCCTTATCGAGGAAGACCTCTTGTTCCACGTGCCCCAGTAGGCAGGCCGATGATTCTCACAGAACTGCAGTAGCTTCATTCTTCCAAATTTCTTCCTTTCAGGCACATCTTCTGCCTGGCTGCTACCCACAATGACGACATCGCTGTTGAACCGAAAAACAGTGTGTTCAGTCTTGGATGTTGCCCACCGGGGTTCCCGTCGGAGGGAGAAGGGGGCAAGGGGGGGGCAAGGGGAGCTGAAAGTCACCCTTGTGTTCCATTAAAACGAAGTTCCTAATTAGTGCTGCCGTATTTCCCCAAAAATAAGACCCAGCCGGAAAATAAACCCCAGCATGATTTTTTCAGGACGCTCGTAATATAAGCCCCACCCCAAAAATAAAGCCCCAGTTAAGATCGTCAGCCAGACGGACGCATTTAGTATCGTATTTTCCCCAAATATAAGCCCTAACCGGAAAATAAGCCCTAATGCAGACACGTCAAACACAAGGCCCGGGGGCCGGATGTGGCCCGCGAAGTTGTTTCATGTGGCCCACGAAGCCATCCTGGAAACAGTGAGGGAACGACCCCCGTTGCCTTGGCCCTGACCCAGGCCGGCTGGGAGCCCATGTACAATTTTGTGGTGGCCATCTTGGCACTTGCCCTGGTGGACCATGCCTTGGCACTTGCCCCGGTCCCACCCCCTTCTGCCAGAGACCCTCAGATCTGTCCCACTCCCGCCCAGGCCCCCATAGGCACCCTTGACGCGAATGTTGTAGACCTAGCCACACCCACCCAGTAGGCCACACCCACTCCATCCACGCCCACCCAGTAGGCTGCACCCACTCTGGCCACACCCACCCGGCCCCTCAAGGGCAACCGCAATGCTGATGCGGCCCTCAGTGAAATTGAGTTTGACACCCCTGCCCTAATGTGTATTTTTGGAGCAAAAATGAATATAAGACCCGGTCTTATTTTTCAGAGAAACACAATATGATAATAATGCTTGACTAACAAGAAAATGACTTTTGTCCATTTCTTTAGAGAGGCTCCAATTAAAATTGAAATGGTGAATATCACAGATTAAAAAAAGAGAGAGCGAAGGTTAAGGAAACTGTGTCCTGCAAAGCGCTCCAGATCAAAGAGAAATGGGGAAGGGGAGGGAGACCAGTGAGAGGGAAGGAGAACTGAAGCTTTCTATACTAGAGCAGGGCTTTTCAACCAGTGGTACGGGTACCACCTGTGGTACATTGGCACCTGGCAGGCGGTACGCGACCATCCTAGAAAAGTGGTAGCGGGGGAGGGGAACGAGCTGAACCGGTGGCAGCACCGCACAAGCCTGAGCGAGAGACGGCTGGAGCTGCAGGGCTGTCAGGGCTCAGCGGAAGCGCCAGGATCAGCGCCAGGATCCAGCTGGAAAGCAGCACTGATCCTGACACTTCTGCTGAGCCCAGAAGAAGCACCAATCAGCTGGAATGTTGCAGCCTCTCCAGGGTCTTGTGATTTACATTCAGATGCTTGGCAACTGATTCATATTTATGACGGTCACAGTGTCCCAGGGTCATGTGAAGTGACCAAAACCTGCTGCAACCACCCAGCAGACGGGGGGAATAAAAACCAAACATCCCCCCACCCCACCCCCGCTGCCAATCCTCAACAGAAATGCTCACAACTATGGAAACCTCGGACAGGAGGAAGAGCACCACCGGGCGGGCAGGCAGGTGTCTTGTTCGGCTGTGGCTTGGGGGGCGCTTTTTCCAGTGCCATTGTAACTTCGAACAGTCACTAAGCGAACTGTTGTAAGTCGAGGACTACCTGTACTTTATCACTTTTTTCCTTTTTTTTTTTTGATCATCAAGTTTTTGACACCTTGCTAGGCGACTGGTGGTACTCGGATGTTGCCATATCCTAAAAGTGGTACAATGGGTGAAAAGCCCTGCCGTAAACCGCTCAGAGAGGGCTGTAAAGCACTGTGAAGCGGTATATAAGTCTAAGTGCTACTGCTATTCATTTGTGCCAGGTTACAGAAGCCCTGATGATCCAATGGGAGAAGGCGGCAGATCTCCTGGCTGGCCTGTCCACCTGAAGCATCAGGGCCTGGGGTGGAATCAGCAACTGAACTCAGGGGCGGAGTTAAGAGAGTGGCTGGCGTGGAGTCCCTTTGAGAAGGAAGCGATGGAGACTTCACCCTCCTTAAATCCCAGGAGCGCTTATCTGGTGGCGCAGAGAAGCCGGGGTTAGAATGCAGCATTGCAGGCTGACTCTGCCCGCTGCCAGCAGTTTGATCCTGACCGGCTCAAGGTGGACTCAGCCTTCTCTCCTTCCGAGGTGGATAAAATGAGGACCCAGATTGTTGTGGGGACAACAATAGGCTGACTTAGTAAACTATTTAGAGAGGGTTGTAAAGCACTGTGAAGCGGTATATAAGTCTATTTGCTATTGCTATTACCCTCCCTCCCTCCCTTCCTTCCTT